TCTCTCTCTCTCTCTCTCTCTCTCTCTCTCTCTCTCTCTCTCTCTCTCTTTTTTTTTCTATATAACTTTCTAATCAGTTTGTTGATATTCCCAAAATACCTTGCTGGGATTTTTGGGGGACTGCATTAAGTCTATGGATTACGTTAAAAAGAACTCATTTTTTTTTTCATGGTGCTGGGGATTGAACCCAAGCTCTCACACAAGCCAGGCAAGCACTAAGCTACAGCTCTGCCCTTTCTATTCTTTTTATTTTGGGGGCAGGGTCTCCCTAAGTTGCCCAGGCTGGTCGCAAACTGCAATCCCCCTGCCTCAGCCTCGCATGTCAGGTCTCTGGAATTATAGGTGTGTGCCATCATACCTGGCAAGAACTGACATCTTGTTGAGCACAGTGGTGCACACCTGTTAATCCCAGAGGCTGAGGCAGAAGAGTCACAAGTTTGAGACCAGCCTCAGCAATTTAGCAAAGCCCTAAGCAACCTAGCAAGATACCCTTTCAAAATCAAAATAAAATATAAAAAAGGCTGGGGATGTAGCTCAGTGATAAAGTGCCCCTGATTCCAGGCCAAAAAAAAACAAAAAACAAAAACAAAAACACACAGAAACCCCTGACATCTTGATAGTGAATCTTCCTACCCATGAGTAAAGAACACATCTCCATTTATTAGCTCTTCTTTGACTGCTTTCATCAGAATATTTTTAGTTTTCTAATATCGATTTATTTTGCACATTTTATTAGATGAATACCTAGATATTTTATTTTTTATACTAATGCAAAGATGTTTAGCTTTATAAGTGATTATATGTTAGAGAAGTTGCTAAGCTGGAAACTAGTATAATTCATTTGTTTTAAAGAAGAGTATTCTACTACCAATGTGAAAAATGTGCAAGATTTGGGTAGATAACCCATTAGATATTTTTTTTTTAAATGTGTACAAGCAGAAGCAAAGGTCTACACTAAGGAAGTGGTGAAAGATATGGAAAAGAGTTAAGTCCAATTTTAGAAATAAAGCAATAATAAAGATTTTTTTTTTCCTAAGAAGCCAAGCATTGACAGACTTCCCAACAGCCTTGAAGAGATTTCAACTACTCTAATCTTACATCCCATGGAGTGGGCATTTAATGACTAATGTCCATGTCAACTAGCTGACCCATCCGTTTATCCTTGCCCCTTCTTCCAACCCATCATAACCCCGATTTTGTACAGGTGTCCTCCTTTCCCTCCTGGCCAAGTATTATAAGGGAAGCTAACTCCAGCCGTGGCCCAACTGGTCTTCGGGAAACCCCAGCCTCCAGCTAGGACTAGCTCAGGAACAGGTATATGAGCCAATTCTCATCAATGAGACCAAAGGGATAGGATGGAGACATGACCTAGAATTTTTTTTCTCTGTCAAAATGGAAAAAGGCACAGGAAGAAATGGTCTCCTGCCTTGTTCTGAAGTTGTCCTGTATCTTTGTGACTCCTACAACTGCTGTAGCCATATTCCTATCATCCCATGAATGAAGCCAACTGTAAAGATGGTTTAGCATGGGGATGGTGTTGTTGAGTTGCTGAATCAAAAAATCCAAGTGTCTTGGTTATTCTAGGTGGATTTCTTTTATTTCTTTATTTTATTTTTGTCACTGGGACTTGAACCCAGGACCATGTGTGTGCTAGACAAGTGCTCTACACTGAACTACATCTCCAGATCCTTTTATTTTGAGACAGTTCCAAGTTGCCCAGGCTTGCCTCAAATTTGCAATCCTCCTGCCTCAGTCTCCCATGTAGCTGGAATTATAGGCAGGGAGTTTCCACTCTAAGCTTGAGGGGGATTTCTAAAACTTAAATCTGAAAGTACCCTAACTGTTATACTTGCTCTTACCTAGTAGCTGAACTATAGGGAGCTTGCCTGCTATCCACCCTCCCCTCTGGGGTTGCTAAATTCTTTCTTAGTATTTCGTTACATCATACCCCTAAGGTAGGACTTTGCCTTCTTCACTGCTCTATCACCTTGCCTAGAATCTGACATTTAGTAGGCACTTAATAAATAGCTAGTGAATCAATCAATAAATGAAAAACCCAAGGGCTAAAATTTGAATAACAAACAGTCTAGCTATTTTTCTACCCTCTTCTTTTTTTCCTCTTATTAAGATTTACCACTAATGGGGCTGGGGATATAGCTCAGTTATTAGAGTTCTTGCCTTGCATGCATAAGACCCTGGGTTCAATCCCCAGCACCACCAAAAAAAAAAAAATTTGCACTAGTGAGTTTTGATTGATGTATGCCCTTGACAAATGCAAAAATTATAGCAAGAAATAAGTGTATCAGAATAGTGTGTGCATTTGCTATATACAAAGATTAGTAAAGCATATGATGTTTTTAAGGTTCCCTATACAAAGTCTCCTAAAAGAAACTTAATGGGGGACCTACCTCTTTTAAAGAATTGTCCTGCTTCTTTCTAGTAAGCTGTAAGGACCATCTAATTTGATAACCTTTTTTTGCCCTGGCTGCCAGGAAGCTCAGGTCCCGATCTGATGCGAGCTCCCAGTAACTCTATTACACTTCAGAATCAATGCTTGCTTCTTCTTCCTTTCCATGGCTTTGCTTTTCTAATTTTAGTTGAATGACCTTATTGTGTTTGGCTTTATTGTAAGTTGCTTCAAATCCTTTTCAGAAAGAGGTGCATATAAAAAAAATTAACAGCTCAATTCTAAAAAGCCACACAGAGCCCGAGCTGGCACCACTTGCTCTTTGTAATAGCCTGGGAGGGCCCCGAAGTAGCCTGGTGCTTTATCTTTACAAACACATGTCAGCCAGTGCAGCAGCGCTCACCGGAGATCTCAGGAGACAAGGGCAAAAATCACCCGTCATTTTCTACTGAATGGGTGTCTGGAGGACCATTCAGGCTCCTAGTGGCTGGATTTTGGGGGAGGATTAACGTGGAAAGCCCTTGGAAAATCAGTATCGCCCCTGCCTGTACCGGCTATTGTTCAGAGGTGAGTGTTCCGTCTAGTTTTGGAGGTAGACTCTCTCTCCTGCCTGGCCCCTGGCCCCACGGGCTTTGTGTGTAGGATCCTGTACCCTTTCCCCAGACTCTGGGCCACAGGCCTCTCCAGCCAGCCCTCTGTGCCAACTGGCAGAGGGTGCTCTTGTATAGCAGATCTGACTCCCTCCCCACACCAGCTCCTGATGCCTCTCTGCTCCAGCCAGCGACCTGGACCTGCTGGGGCTCTGGAAACTTCTGTGCATGGGGGATGGTGGGGGGGTGGTGGGCATATTGCTGTCCCCCCACCCAAAGCCTGGCCTAAGGCCTCCCCCAAACCACTGCTGAGCTGGCTTCACTCAGCTTCAAGCTGGTACACCCGTCTGCACTCAAATTTCCCTGAGTTAAACAGAAGAGGCTCTATATGTGCTGGGGACTTACAGGTTTGGTTTGCTGCTATCATATGGTACATGTGTGTTCACAGACAGTTAGGGGGAGGCAGAGAGAGGAAAACAGGGGTGGAAAGAGAAAGAAAGGACAGACATTGCTTTCTCAGAGCTCTGCAATAATAGATTTCATGATTTAATTGGAAATTTAGTAAATCTGCTAAAACATTTAGTGGTTTAAATTTTTCCTGTTCTGCAAAGAAACAAAGCCTTCTGGTTTACCCTGTGTCTTTCAACAACTTTAATTTCATTTGTAGATTACGGATGGAAGTAGCATTTCCACTCGATTGCATACTGGGCATTAAGAAAACAAAAACCTTCATTGTTTGCAGCCCTTGGAATTTTTTTTCAGACATTAAGCTGTAGGTGGCATTCTTTATACCTGACATCAGAGCACTTTTGTCAGGCATTTAGTTGACAGGATTTACTGCAAGCCCATCCTAGGTGTGTGAAGCGGGGACAACAAGAACATATTTGGTTCAGGTGGGCACCGAGAGGAGAGCATGGGCCGACCAGCCCGATCAGGTAACCGCTGCTTTTCAAACTGTGTAATTAAAGATCTTTGGAGTTCTTCGAAGGGAATTAATTAGTAGAGAAAGGCTGTTTTGTTTACAGTCTTTATCATCAACATAATCAAAAGCAAGCCTTGATATTGGTGCAAATTGGACTGAATTCTCCTGAAGCCAAGATTGCTTCATGCAGAGCTTTTCTTGTTTTCTGAGGTTTTTCTACCTGTGCATTAACCATTAACTTGCCATCTGATGGAGGTGGGGGACAGTGAGGGAGCCATGTTTCAAGGGTGGGGTAAGGGAAAAGGCACCCTCAGTTGTCAAAACACCCTGGGGCCCCTGCTGGGTTCCCACCTGTGTGTAATACATTGGCACAGTGGGTGTGTGCACAGGTTCACCTGTCTCAATGGTTTGTCCATGTTAAACTGTGTTTTCAGTTCTGGACCGCAGCACCCATAATGTCCTAAAGAAATCACCTGGCAGTGTGTCACAGCTGATGTCATTGTACCAGCCTGGTGGCATCAGAAATATCTGGATGCTTCATAATAAATGCACCCAGGCCAGAACCTCCTGGGATCAGACTCTAGAATCTGTGTTAACTCTGCTCAGATGCTTCTGATATGCAGCCACACTTGGGAACCACTGTTCCTACAGTTTGTTGACCTTTTAGTGAGAGAACATGAGCATAAATTGGAAAGGGAAGGGCGTCCGGGGAGATACAAAAAGTCCAGTTGCACCATATGAGACCTACGGCCTCTGACTAGAGACTAAAGCTGCTGGAGGCAGAGCCACTCTGTCCAGCAAACCCTCACTTGAAGGACAATGCCACACACCTAGTCTGAGCAATAAGGGCCATTCTCCAGGCCAAGAGAGGCTGCAGGGCAGCTGCAAGCCCCACAGCTCCTCTTCCCCCAGGGATTCCATTCATGGTGCTGGGAAATGTTCCAAAGGACCAGCCAACTCAGGGCAGGGTCCTAGTTATGGTATCATTATCCAAATTGTGAGAACTAGGTCTTGGTAGGGTTCGCGTGTAATAAACCCAAATCCATTTTCTTTCTTTTTTTTTTTTTTTGTACCAGGGATTGAACCCCAGAGAGCCACATCCCCAGCCCTTTTTTACATTTTATTTATAGACAAGGTTTCACTGAATTACTTATGGCTTCACTAAGTTGCTGAGGCTGGCTTTGAACTCACGATCCTCCTGCTTCAGCCTCCCAACTGCTGGGGTTATAGGTATACACCACTGCACCAGGCCCCATTGGATTATCTCTTTTTTTTAAATGTTTTTTCCCCCACCCAAACTGGAGATTGAACCAGGGGTACTCTACCATTGAGCTACATTCCCAGCCCTTTTTATTTTGCTTTGAGATAGAGTCACTAAATTTCTGAGGCTGGCTTCAAATTTGCAATCCTCAACTCGACATGGTGGCTCAATCTCAGCAGCTCAGGAAGCTGAGACAGGAGGATCACAAGTTCAAAGCCAGCCTCAGCAAAAGTGAAGTGCTGAGCAACTCAGTGAGACCCTGTCTCTAAATAAAATACAAAATAAGGCTGGGGATGTGGCTCAGTGGTCAAGTACCCCAGAGTTCAATTCCTGGTACCAAAAACAAAAAATTTGCAATCCTCCTGCCTCAGCCTCCTGAGTGGCTGAGATTACAGGTGTGCACAACTTTGCCCCACTCATCTGATTATCTTGGGGCTAATAATTTGGCTCCTGTCTTGTCTTGGTCATGACAAGAGCTCAGAGAATTCTGCCTCAGTTGCCCCGCATTGTGCAATCCTGTGCAATCCTCACCCACCATTTTTTTCTGCATCTTATAGGAAACCTAGTCCTAGCACTTTGATTTTCTTTGCCATGGAAAGCTTTTATTAGAAAAGTTACATAAGTATGCTTTTTTAAAAAAGATTTTTTAAACAAACAGAGGTGTAGTTGGGCCTGGTGGCATAGCAACTCAGGAGACTGAGACAGGAGGATTGCAAATTCCTGGCTAGCCTAGGCAATTTAGTGAGATCCAGCCCTCCAAAAATGAAAAGGGCTGGGGGTGTATCTCAGTGGTAGAGTACCCCTGGGTTCAGTCTCCAGCACCACACATACACACACACACACACACACACACACACATACAAATAGATGTGTTTAAAGTGGGGAATGAAGTTCTCCCTATAATCTTAGCCTTCAGAGATAATCCCTGTTAATGGTGTCAACTACCTGAATTTGAAAGATGTGGATGCAAGGGTTGAGAGAGGTGAGCTCAAATAGTGACTCTGTGACAGAACAAGGGCAGGGATTTCTGACCCCTTTTATCAGGCCTGGTTCTATACTCTCCTCTTTGCAAGTGACCTCTCCCAGAAGCCCAGGAACTTTTTGTTGCATCATCAAATTAATGACAAATCCATCTGTCAGGCATCAGCAAAGGTGATCAGCACACTGCCCTGGGAACAGGAAGCCACACCTCAAAACCAGATTCTTCCAGATTATAGGCAACACACCCTGTGACAGATTCCTCCTCCAAGCCTCTGGCCTTTATACCCATCCATTTCCCTTCACTTTTCTGAACCAAGTCCCCAAAGGTTACAGATTCTCAATGAAGAATACTCCCTAACTGCTGGGGCCCACAAGCAGAGCAATGGCAGCCATCTTGGAAACTGCCCGCGGAAGAGCCTAGAGGCTAAGGCAGGCCCAGGTGCAGCCCCGGCGGAGCCCACTGTGCTATTCTGAGCCATCTTCTAGAAGCCTTTGCATTTTCCCCCCAACATTCCTGGAGAACTTGTGCCTACCCACGATGGTCCTATCTTTTTAGATCTTACAATCTGATGAATGTGTTGGGAGTGGGTATAGAGTTATAAAATTAAATATCCTGATTCCCAAGCAATGGAGGGGGATCCAGGAGCAGTTTGGTCACAGTGGCGATGGGGGTGGGGAGCTTCCCACAGCACTGCCAATGACGGTGGTTTGAAGTTTCGGGTGGTGATTCATTTTGTACAACTGACCAGTCAGAGTCACACTCAGCCCTGTTCTCCACCCTTAAGGAATCTAACAATAATAATCACCATGATATTAACTATCTCATTTATGCCTCACATAAATGACTAAATCTACTTTAGCACAGTGTGTTATCATCCTCCCCCATTTTATAGATGAAAAATGAGACGCTCAGGAGTCACCCAAGGTCACAGGGCTAGCTACAAACAATCAAACTTCCAATCCAGGTTGATTTAGTTGCAAGGGCTGAGAGTTTACAAATGTAAGTACAGACCTGGTGTCAAATCAGAGACCATATTCTCCATATGTAAAGGCAAAGCTTACAGCACAAGGCAAGATCAGCTAAAGTAAAGTAAGACAGGTTTCCTACTGTGCCTGCCAGCAAGTGGATGCCCAGCAAGGCTGTCCACCTGTTGTGTTGGGCAGAACTTTGGGGGAACACCATGTTAACTGAGCACATGACAACACAGTCTCAGCTGGGTGTAAGAATCTGCTATTCTGCCTTGATGATTTATTTATTTTGAGTTTAATCCCCATTGCCCCTTGGAAAAATAATCACAATTCTTTTAAAACTCTTTGCCAATAGTTCTGTTGACTGCAGTAATGTATACTGACCACAGCAATTGATAAAGAAATAAAGGCTTCTGTCAGATCTCAGGATGGAGGGAAGCCAAAGGGGCACCAACCATCCGGAGAGAACTCACCAGCTCAAAAGTGATTTTCAGGACAGCCAAGAGCCCAGATGCTTTCTTTTCTTTTCCTTTCCTTCCCCCAATCCTGTTTCTTCCCCGCCACCCATCCCTTCTCTCTCATTCTTTCACTGTTTCAAAATTCATATCAATAAAACTAAGTTCCTCAAGTGTCCCTTCTGAGAAATCTATTGCTTTTGAAGCTTACTCTGATCTTCTCTCTGCTTGTGCCATTGTTGGAAGAGACCTTAGTTTTCATTCTTTTCTCTTCTGTGGTTCCTCCCATCTCCCTAAATGTTTTAGCATCTGTTAATCCCAGTTGGAAACCTCAGCAGATAAAGTCTTGTTCCATGTAGATTGCTTCAAGAACAAATAGAGGGTTGCAGATAATTCAGCATTTGGTTTCAGGAGGGTTTAGGGTTGGGGCTGCAGAGGACAGCACCTCTTCCTCCTAAGCAGCCAGTTAGAGCAAAAGCAGAGTAATTCCCAAGCTGGGGTGGAATGCATGTAGATCAGGTTCATTTCCAGAACGGCGGCCGCCTGCATTTGGGTGATTTTAGAAGCCACCATGACAGCAAAGTAGTTTTATGCATAGCGGCTTAGCAAACACTTTGAGAACTAGTTTTGCGAAGCTATCAGGTTGAAAAATACCAAGTCACAAAGTTTTAATGAAAGTAAGTGTGGATCAACGTATCATAAAGAGCATCCAGGACGACTTAAAAGATCCTTGGGTGGAAATTAGAATGGATCTTCGGGATTTATGTGGCAAAGCCTGTCTATTTTGACCTTTTTTCCGTTTCATATTAAGGGTACTGAAAGTGTGTTTTGTTTGGGGGCGGCTGTGGGAGGACAGCAGCTATTGGTGCTGTTACAGTGATGCCGCTACTGAAGTTGAGCTGCATTAATTGACTGATAAGGGCCTGGGCATCAAATAGCAGAGAGAAAGGCCATCGGAGATTTTCTTGCTTTATTTCTCTCTGCACTTCATTTACATCTTAAGCCATATTGGTGATCCAGATTTGAATAAAGCCACAGCTTAAGCAGTGATTAGATCTCAATAGCTTGGATTTTCTATGAAATTGCTGCATTTTTACTACATGTATTTAGAAATACTGGTGAAAACTGACACCTTGGGTAACTTTATCATTTAAAATGGAGCTTCGTGTGGATAAAAACCCCAGCTAAAATGGGGATATTAGTTGCCAGGCCTTTGACTCAGGCAGTGTCAGGGGTTAGAATTAGACAAAAGCCAAGCTCAGCACGACTTGGGCCAGAAAGAATGCAGATAAGTCAACCCACCACCTTCCTCTAAGCCTGCTCCCCCCTCCCCCGACCCCCCAAAAAAATGTTAATCAAAGCAATGATCCCATAACCTGAAGAAAAATAAGGAAGCCAAAAGGAATATATAATGCAACAGGGAGCTTTTTTTTATTTTGAGTTTTTTATTTTAATCATAAAGCAATATTTTTAACTCTAAGGTTAACCTGCTAATCCTTAAGCTGGTGACATGACAGTGTCAAATGTGATGGGATTTTGTGATTCTCATTATTGTTATGTATTGTTCTTTCTCTGGCATTCCATATTAATATTTATAAATGCCCTTTTTATAGAACCAAGAGGACCAAAACCCATTATTAAATTTTTAAAATGGACAAACCACGCATCCAATATAGTTGATTACAATTTAGAACAAAAAGGATTTCAGTAGTAATCCACTTCTTGTTTCTCGTTGTTGTTGATTTGTGTAGACAGCAGAGCTCCTGATGTTATTTTTTTTTTAACTACTGTTTGCACAAAGTAACATCCAAATGACAGAATAACAGAATATTGATTGTACTCCCCAAGAAGAAGGTAAAAATACCATATGCAGGTGAGAGGGCATAATGGAGAAAAGGTGTGCATTTAAAATGTTAAGTCAGCCACCAAGAGCAATGGCAAAATGAAAGAATCAACTAAATTTTTTTAAAGAGGGAAGTTGTTCATTAGGTTGTTTTCAAGCACCTTGGAAGGGCTCACATGTGCAAAAGAGGACTCTCCATAAGAAAGAGAGGTGAATCAGTTATGCCATATCTAACCAGAGAGGAGAGTCCAACTCACCTTAATCTACTCAGCCCCTCTCCGTTCAGTGCCCTGGGATGTGATCAAACATCCTTTGGAGGCAAAAAAGAAAAAGAGGAACGTGCTCTCTTCCCAGCTCAGGGACCTTGCTATGTCCTTATCTGTGGGTAGCTAAGAGTAGTCTTCAGCCTCAGAGAAGAACATTTGTGGAAGATGTGTTATGGCTGCCCGGTTCCACCGATTCCTCAACCTCCACAAGGGCGATTTTCAGGAGTGTATAGGAATAGTTAGCCCTGGCTTCTGGTTTTATAATTAAATAGCCAATGAGGGGAAAGAGTAATGTCTTTGCTCATGAAGCCAAGAACTGAAGTAGTTTTGACGAATTATTAGGAACACCATAACTCTTATACTTTGGGAGTAAAGGTATTGGTTTTCATGGGCGCCATTTTTAGTCCTTCTTATAAATACCCTCCCCCCCACCCCATTCAATACCCCAAATCTGGACTTCAGATTCTTAGTCCTGGCTCTTCTCCTTCACACTAAGTGATCTTGAGCTAGTTATTTGACCAAGTTTCCTTGGTTATAAAATAAGAAAACTAACACCTAGTTCATGCTGTTGTGAAGAGTAAATGCATCTTGTATAGGGCTTGGCATAAAGTAAGCCTGCAAGAACTTGTATCTCTAATTAGTAACATACCTCTGATTTTGGAGGTTTGGAACTCTGTTTGGTTTTTTTTTTTTAATTTGTGGATAGTTTTCTCTATATCATCCTCTTCTGGTTTGGGAATTGCCACCCACGTATGTGTGTTTTTGTAACTATAAATTTGTACATTCAAAAACTAAACCAAGTCAGGTATCTGGGGACCCAGGTTGCTTGAAGAATTCCAGATCTGCTGGGATAAAGCACATGGGCATTTTGTTTTAAAGACATCTAAGTTATTTTCCAACACCAACAAGGAAAGAGGAGTCCAAATTGATGCCTAGTGGTTCTGACAGTTATTCTATTATAGTGCAGAGTTACGGCCCCAGAGGTGGCGACTGAGCTCTGGTTGAGGAGTATTGTGTGATCAAAGCAGCAATGGTGTAACTCAACTCCAATGAAACCCAAGTTTGGTGGAGCAATGAGAAGGCTATTTATTCATTGTGACCAGTCTGTATAGAAACTGGCCTCGCCTTCTGGGGAAACAAGTCTTATGTTTCAAACATGTGTAGTGGCCTTGCTTGGCAGTAGGGCATATGCTAAGGATGCTGGTTTCGCAGACCTCCCTGAAGCTTATCAGCTTCCCCCTCCTTGAAGCCCTGGATGCCCTCTCTAAGCAACCTCCATTGAGCTCCTCCTGGAGGGGGTCCTCCTAAGCGGAACTGGCACTGTCTTCCTCCTTCCCGTGGAGGATCCCCTGCCTCTTTTCAGGCTCTCCTCAGGCAGTGCACAGGTGGGTCCCTCCTCTCTCTCACTACTTGCTGCTCCCAAACTAATGTATCAGAATTGACCTGTCCTCTGGTCCATTCCTCAGGAAGACCCTGAACAGGAGCACTCTGGGAGGAAGCTGGGTCAGCATGGAATACATACACTCAATGAAGGGCACAAGCCTAATGTCACGGTGACTTACTCTCCCTCAGAGCACTTTTCCTTTGCACTAGACCCTGTGGTGTGTGTGTGTGTGTGTGTGTGTGTGTGTGTGTGACAGAGAGAGAGAGAGAGAGAGAGAGAGAGAGAGAGAGAGAGAGAGAGAGAGGTACAGGGGATTTAACCCAATGGCATTCTACCACTAAGCTACATCCCCAGCCCTGTCCATTTTTTATTTTGAGACAGGGTCTTGCTAATTTACCCAGGTGACCTGGAACTTTCGATCCTCCTGCTTCAGCTCCCCAAGTTGCTGGAATTAGAGGCATGGGCCACCATGCCTGGCTATTTTTCTTTTTCTTTTCTTTCTTTTTTTTTTTTTTCTTTGAGGCAGTTCTTACTAACTTACTCAGCACACAGTAGATACTCAAGAGGTGTAGTTTTGATAAAGGGATGAGTAAATAAGGTGAGTCCAAGCAAACCACAGCAGCGCTCATATCAGATTATCATAGCTTACTATTTACTTAAGCCCCCCTTAGCACCCCAAATAACACAAACATAATACAACAGCTGGGCATGGTGGCTCATGCCTGTAATTCCAGCAACTCAGGAGGCCAAGGCAGAAGTGTCATGAGTTTGAAGCCAGTTGCAGCAATTTAACAAGGCCCTGAGCAATTTAGCGAGACCCAGTTTCAAAATTTAAAAAGCCAACAGGGCTTTTGCTTCAGCTACTGAGTAGTTGCTCCCATCTTGGACATATTCTTCTGTTTCCCAGGTGTATTAGTCCATTGTTCATTACCATAACAAAATACCTGAGGCAGACTACTAAAGAAAAAAGGTAAGCCGCAATGGTGGTACACACCTGAAATCCCAACAATTTGAGAGACTAAAGGAGGAGGATTATTAAATTCAAGGCCAGCTTGGACAACTTGTCTCAGAATAAAAAATAAAATGGTTTGGGAACCCCCGGATTTGATCCCCAGTACCAGGAGTAAAAAAGGAAAGGAAGAAGGGAGGAAGAAAGGAAAGAAGTATTTAACTTTCAGCTCTAGAGGTCCAAGGGCCTGCATCTGGTGATGGCCTCCCTGCTGGCAGAGGGAGTTACATGGTAAGATTGGGAGCACATGTACATGTCCTGGTTGTCCCTTTTCTCATAAATCCACCAATATTCAACCAGGCCCCACCCTGATGACCTTTTCTAATCCTTATCACTTCCTAAAGTCCTGCTTCTAAACATTATAGTTAGATTGTTTTCACCCTTTTAAAACCTTATAATGGAGATTAAATTTCAACATACGAATCCTTGTTCATATGCTGAAATTCAACATATGAACCATATCCAAACTATAGCACCAGGTGACCCATTAGCTCTGATTCAGACATGCATAGACTTTCAGAGATTCCTGTAGAGAAGAAGAAAGGGAGCCTTATATCAAGGCAATCAGGTTTTTTTCTAAAAGGAGGATTTAGGGCCTCTCATACCTGGAGTGGACAGGTCAATAGTCCCCATATTTACCCTGGCTCCTCATAGGAGACCAAGTCATTTTGAGGAAGTGGCACCAAAAAGAGACGTATCTTAAAAAAGGGGCTCAGGGTCTATAATCCTAACTACTCAGGAGGTCGAGGCAGGAAGATTACAAATTCAAGGCCAGCCTCAGCAACTTAGTGAGACCCTGTCTCCAGATAAAAAGGGTTGGGGATGTAGCTCAGAGGTAAACTTCCCTGGGTTCAGTTCCCAATACCACAGTTAAAAAAAAAAAAAAAAAAGCTGGAGGAAAGAGGGTGTTCTGGGTCCTAGTCTGCCAACGAATTCTGTTTGGGTTTGTTCACCCTCTTTTCTGAAATAGCTCATGCAACTGTGATTTTTTTTTTTTTTTTTTTTTTTTTTTGCAGCCTGATGCTGAGACAAGCGGGCAGCAGAGGCAGGATCTCTAAGGCAGAATGTAGCTTCTGGGACTGAGCATCCACCCCTGTGGAGCCCAGAAAGAGTCACACCTTTGTGGGATGCGGATTCTTTCATTGGCTTCAGTGCAGTTAATTATTGCAAAGCATTTGGAACAACTGCAAGATTTGGACATCATTTTTAGTTTCCCACTGAATCAGATGAAAAAATTAAGCTTTTAGCAACATCTCTGGCTCAAGAGTAAAATTTGCAGTGTGAAGTTTTAATTTTTTTTGCAAAAGCCGTTATTTCTTAAGATGACTTTTTTTTTTCCTTGTTATGGTACTGGAGATATAACGCAGGGGCACTCTACCACTGAGCTATACCCCCAGCAACCCTTCTTTATTTTTATGTTGAGGCAGGCTTTTGCTAAGTTCCTGTAACTGGCCTTGAACTTGGGATCCTCCTGCCTCAGCCTCCTAAGTTGCTGGGATTACAGTTATGTGCTACCTTACCTGGTAAGATGATTATTTTTGTTTTATTTTTGGTGCTGGGAATTGAACCCAGAACCTCACACGTGCTAAGCACAAACTCTACTGCTGAACCACACTCTCAGCCCAAGCAGGATTGAACAATGAGTAAATTTATTATTTCATATAAGAGGGACAAAAGATACAAAGCGAGTTCTAGGGTGAGTTGATTCAATAGCTCAAAGATGTCATCAAGGACCCAAATATTCTCTCCACTCTGCCCTCTTGCCTGTTTGCCTGACACTAGGGCCAGAGGTGAGAAGGTATCAGCAGTCTCAGCCCCACACCAGATCCAAAATCCAGAGGAAAAAGAGAAATAACCTCCTCTTGTGGTTTATTTTAGGACAAAAGAAAATTTTCTCAAAAGCCCCATCAGCTGGGCATGGTGGTGCACTCCTGTAATCCCAGTGACTTGGGAGGCTGAGGCAGGGGGATTACAAATTTAAAGCCAGCCTCAACAGTTTAGCAAGGCCTAAGCAACTCAGTGAGGCCCTATCTCTAAGTAAAATATAAAAAAGGAGGACTGGGGCTGTAGCTCAGTGACAGAGCACCTACATGCCTAGCCTGTATTGCAACACTGGGTTCAATTCTTAGCACCACATAAAAACGAAACAAATAAAATAAAGGCATGCTTTCCATCTTCAACTACAAAAAAATTAATACACACACACACACACACACACACACACACATATATATAAAAGGCTGGGGATATTGCTCAGTGGTTAAGCACCCCCAGGTTCAATCCCTGGTACAAAAAATTTAAAAAGCCCCCATCAGACTTAAACTCATGTTCTCATGTTCATCTAGAATGGGGTTAATAATTTAAACTAAATTATTCTCTAGTAAGAAATAATCCCCAGATTTCAGTGAATTGGCACAGCAAAGGTCTACTTCTTGCTCCATACAAAGTTGCCGTGGATCCAGAGACTTCCAGGGCAGCTATCGTGAGTTGGCCATGATGCCTCGTGAGCACTGGCATCTTCAATCATTGTCGCAGGACCACTGTAGCAGAGGAAGGGTGGCAGAGGGCCTGATGCCACAGTCAGTACTGAATCCTCAGCTGACAGTGGTCACTCTCACATGACCTCATCCGACTGCAATTTAGATGGGGAAGGATGATTTTCCCGCGTCCTAAGGAAGGACCACTGAGCTGGGTACGGAAGGCACTGGGAAGTCTCACTGTGGTGCACAGCCCTGACCCGTCACTTGAGGAGGTGGTGGAAGGGCAATGGGGCGAGCCTAACTTTATCTTCCAATGTGAGATCAAGTTGGGGGTGAACCATAAATCCATCCAGGTAGTTAAACAATTAAGAAGACAACAAATGAAGGTTGTGTGTGGTGGCACAAGCCTGTAATGCCAGCGACGGGAGGCTGAGGTAGAAGGCTTGAAACCAGCCTCAGCCACTTAATGAGACCCTGTCTCAAAATAAAAAATAAAAAGGGCTGGGGATGAAGTTCAGTGGTGAAGAGCCCCTGGGTTCAATCCCTGGTACAAAATAGATCAATCAATCAATAAACTTATTAGATATTGAAAAACGACACAGAAATCAAACAGAAGTTCGTGCTGTATTACTCATGTACCCATTACCTAATCTTTGATCATCAGCAAAAAAGGGGGAGGATGATAAATTGATACCTGTGCTAGACACCACTACCTGAGAAGTCCCTCCTGCCTAAACAATTTGAACTTGGAGATACAGCTATTTTGTACATCAGGGTGCATTTGCCGATAGTCTATCTGAATATTTGGGGGTTCATAAAATGCTTTTGACACTACACAACAATCTATTAAATTAAAACCACAATAAATGTCTTTTGGAGGGAAGTACTGGGGATTGAACCCAGGGTTACTTTACTACTGAGCTACATCCCCAGCTTTACTTTTTTTATTTTGAGACAGTGTCTCTCTCTAAGATGCCCAGGCTGTCCTTGTATTTGCAATTCTCCTGCCTCAGCCTCCTGAGTTGCTGGGATTACAGGTGTGTGCCACCACATCCAGCAATAAAATGTCATTAAACCTCTAGCAACCATATTCCTCATATTTAGTCCTAAATATGAGGAAAAAATTAAGGGGGCAACTTTTGAAAACATTTTTCCTAAAAAAAAAAAAAAAAAGAACACCATACAAAATTTTCCTTTTCTTTTTTCCAGTACTGGGGTTTGAACCCAGGGATGCTTACCAATGAGCTACACATCCAGCCCTTTTCATTTTTTTTTTATTTTTTATTTTGAGACAGGGCCTCACTAAATTGCCTAGGCTGGCCTCAAACTTACAATCCTCCTGCCTCAGCCTCCTGTGTTGCTGGAATTATAAGCTTGCTCCACTGTACCCAGTGTGTCCTCCCAATTTCTCAAAATGGAACCTAGTTTCTTCTTGAAAAGGTAACCTCTGTGACATTTTTAAATACTTTTTTTAGTCTTCTTGCTCAACCAGTGACCAACTGTATCAAAATCCCTGGAGAATTTCAACCCTGCCTTCCTGTCACCCTCCCCCCCACCCACCCACACACACACACTCCAATTGATAAAGACACATAGAAGAAGCTCGAGCCTGGAGACTGTGCTTAAGTGACTCAAGTATGTGGCTAAGAATCTGCAGGTTTTAAAGGCCCTCTGGGAGTCCTGATGTGCTGCCTGTTTCCCATCCCAGCTGTCAGCAGCTAAAGGGCCTCCTCACCTGATGGTTAGTTTATTTAAGAAGTAGTGGTTCTTATTAGGCTGTTAGGGCAACAAAGTCATCTTTATTGAGACTAATAGAATGATAAAGCCAAGTTGTAGTCACTTTCTTGTGTCTGAGGAATTGTGTTTCTTGGTACTTTCCTAATGAGCCACATAGAAATAATTCTAAAGGAAGCACAGATCCTTCTTTCTCATTTGACTCTTCAGAGAATGGATTTTATTTTCTTGTTTGCAATACGAGAGGTCAAACCCAAGGGTGTGTGCATGCTAGGCAAGTGTGCAGGTGCTGAGCTCTGCTCCCGGCCCCACAGAGAATGAACTTTCATATAACTGAGCCCACATTGAGTGTAGCTTTTTCTTATTAAAAGTAGAAGTGGTTGCTTACCTCTTATATTAACTGGGTAATTAAAAAAAAAAAAACTTGTTTCAATACTGAGTTTACTCATCTGTAGAGAACAATAGCTTCAATCTTAAAAGGGTGATAATTAAATGAGACAGCATGGAGCGGGGCACAATGGCACACACCTGTAATCCCAGTGGCTCAGCAGGCTGAGGCAGGAGAACCACAAGTTCAAAGCCAGCCTCAGCAACTTAGTGAGGCCCTAAACAACTCAGCGAGACCCTGTCTCTAAATAAAATATTAAAAAAGGATTGGGGATGTGGCTCAGTGGTTAAAAGTCCCTGGGTTCAATTCCTAGTATCAAAAAAAATGAGACAATACAGAGTATACCAAAGTAGACACACATACATATATTCCCACCTGATTTTTTTTTTTTTCAGTAGTGGGGATTAAACAGGTACTGAGCTAGATCCTCAGCCCTTTTTATTTATTTATTTTTAGTACCAGGGATTGAATCCAGAGGCACTTAACCACTGAGCCACAGCCTCAGCCCTTTTTGTTTATTATTTTGAGACAGGGTCTCACTAAGTTGCTTAGGTCCTCACTAAGTTGCTGAGGCTGGCCTTGAACTTGCAATCCTCCTGCCTCAGCCTCCCAAGCAGCTGGGATTACAGATGTGTACCACTGTGCCTGATTGATTGATTGATTGATTTAGAAACACAGTCTTGCTAAATTGCCCAGGCTGGACTTGAATTTGTGATCCTTTTGCCGCAGACTCCCAAATTCCTGGGATCACAGACAAGCACGATAGCTCCCAGCCCACCTGAATTTTCATAAAGTGTGAATGAAATTCAGGAAAAAGAAAAGGATTATTTTAAACAAATAGTACTGGAGCCAAATCAAAAATAAACATCTAGATTCAAGTCACATTTCTTATTCAAAAATCAATCAAAATGGGTCACAGACATAAACAGAAGGTGGAAAACTATAAAACTTCTAGAATTAAACATAATAGAAAAAAATTAAGTTTTAATTTTTATGTTTTTTTTTTTTTTGAGACAGGGTGTTTCTAAAGTGTCACACATCTGTAATCACAGCAATTGGGGGAAGGGATGCTGATGAAGGAGGATCAAATGTTGGAGGCCAGCCTCAGCAATTTAGCGAGAGCCTGTCTCAAAATTAAAAAAATGAAAAGGCTGGGGATGTGGCTTAGTAGTAAAGTGTGCTGGGTTCAATCCCCAGTACCACATAATAATAATAATAATAATAATAATAATAACAACAACAACATGATGATGATGATGATGATGATGATGATGATAAAATTCTGTACATGACAATACCCAATTCTGGTGAAGATGTGGAGAAACTAGATGGCTCATACCTTCCTGATGGGAATGCAAAACAATTTGATGACTGCTCAAGGAAACAAACATGCAACTATCTTACAACTCAATCATTACATTCATGGACATTTACCTTAGAGAAACAAAGACTTATGTTCACATACAAACCTGTGTACAAATATTTACAGACACTTTATTTGTAATGGCCCAAAACTAGAAACAACCCAGATGTCCTTCAGCAGGTAAATGGTTTAAAAAACCGTGGAACATCCATGGCATGGAGTACTACTCAGCAATAAAGAGGAATTAAATTGTAGTGACAACTACAACAACCTTGATAAATCCCAGATAGTTATGCTGAATGGGGAT